TTCAGCCACTGGACTTTCTGTTCTCAATAACCTCAAAATCCCATTATCTAATGTCGAAGAACTCGAGCTGGTTGTTGGCCTAGAAGAGGTTAGTGCTCATGTTTTGGAAAGTAATTAACATTTGACTATGAATATGCTGTTTTGGCCTTTTAGCCTGATAATCAATTCGTTTTACTTTTTGGTGTAGGCTCTGAGCATACTGAAAGCATCTCTGACTTCGTCTCGCGCCATAACCGATGGCCTCATAACTCCATTTTTAATGAAACAACCGAAGCAAGAGGGATGAGGATTTATACAAGATCAGAGCTGGGGCTTGTTGTGCAATAGTTTTCATGACTATGTCTTACTTTTCGTATTTGCATATTTTGGATTCATGTCACATAGTTCAAGAAACTATTGTCGTTAACTTATTACATATTTTAGTTTTATCTACTCCTAAGACTGAACTGGGGCTTCGACAGCTATTGATAATGCTAGTGGCTTGAATCAGAAATGACGAACACATATAATAAAACATATAATAAAACGATGAATTTTGAAGCTGATTAAAAATATGGAATGCAGATTGAAAAAGTTTCTTCACTGCAGCCATTTTCAAATGTCAGATTTGATGGCAGCTTCTATTCTCCGAGCTCTAATATTATACCGTATTATGTGTGCACTTACAAGGTCAGTTGAGCCTAATCATATTCAGCACAAAACTGAATCAAAAGAGATGTCTATAAATCAAGATGTTGATTATAATGATGTTGAGTTGTGTACTCTTTGAGAATGACTTCAAATGACCTGAAGATGATGTCGGAAATGAGATCAGTTATGTGGACATATGGAAGTTATATGTTATGATTATTAGATCAAAGCTATGGCTGTTGGGCTGTTATATTTCATGTATCTAATCATATCCCACATTAGACATTCTATATTTGATCTTTAGGACAACCTTTAGAGCATCCATAATGCTTTTGGTTCAATCACAAAAAATTATAGGGAGATGTTTTGGTCCAATTACGGAACTATTCCGGGGTCCAATTACACTAATGGTGTAGGTGGCTGAATTAATCGTTCCCAGTAGGTTTCAGATGTTGCCTCTCCAATAAGGTAACCTCTCCTTAAAATCAATAATTATTGTACAACTGATGATTGAAAAGACTCTCCAATTTTACTCTAAAATGGAGTTACTTCAACTAAAAAACACAAACTACAAGAAAATTAATTTTACTGAAACTCGAAATAAGCAGTCCAATTTCC